AGTTTGTTTATCATTTAGTATTATAAAATTTTTTTTTATTTGTTTGTCACTCTTATATTGATAGTGATTACTCTTTTCTTTAGTCAAGTTGTAATGGATAAGATTATGAACGATCCAGATTTTTATGTTCAAATTGGCGGTTGTCAGTTTCTTACGGCGGTATGGTATTATTGCGAGCAAAATCAAAAGAAAAAAATGTCTGAAGAGAACTCCTTAATTGGCGAAAACTTATCATGGTTTTATTGGCTTAATGGAGATAAGTTTCTCATTAACGCAGTAAGTAACACCCATTATTAAATGATATTATTCGATCACTCAATATAATATTTTTAAATAGGCTGATAATCCAAGCCGTCTAGTTCGTGGCGAAATTCTTCAGATACTTAGACGTCTAAAACTTCACCTCGAAGTACAAATAACGTCTAATAAAGAGTTCTCATTATCAACGACCACTAATGACAATTCACAATTCGATAATGGAATTGTTAACACATCGTCTCCATTAATGAAAAAACATTCGGATTTTTATAGAAAAATATCATTAATTGATTTTGATCGGCTAGAGGCTACCATTGATGCTGAACATTTATACAAAGAAGCTTTAGAAAGTGTTAATCCTAGAATGATGGTCAATGCAGATTTAATAGTAGAAGGAAACGAAGACAATACATTAGATTGCTATTTCTAGAACTGAGAATAAAAATAAAAATGTTTGTGAAAGATTCGAGAATTAGTATTTGCGAAAAATGTTGTTTTGAGTCGCCGAAAGATTTAACTTTGGCTATATAAATTTAATTAATTTATTGAAAAAAAATTATTGAATTATTTATCGTCGTTGCTGAAGTTGGAATCGGTGGCCTATTTAAAAAATATGAACCCTACTAAAGATCCATTCACTCATTTATTATAAGCTCTAACCTAAATCCTAGATAAAGTTTAGAACCGGTCATAACAGATAATAACCGGGTTAAAGTCTAAACTTGGGTTGATTATATACAGTAAATGGCCGGATAAAAGATCCTCCACAATATTAGTTCCTTTACGTACTATACCTGGATGTAAATTACGGAATCTACAATGACAAAATATACAGTCAGATCTCTCTAAACGCATAGCCGAGGGGCAGCCAAAAAATCTTGTATTTAGAGGGGTATTGCATTTAGGGAGGTAAAATCTATAAGTATTATATAAATTGTGCCAAATAAGGCATGCATTTATTTAGAGAGGTCGTTTATAGATTATGCATTTAGAGATGTTTGACTGTACTTTTTTAAATATCTAGGCTACCTGCTAGAAATGAAAATATGCATGCTTTTTTAAAAGTTTCCTACTAATGATATACATATTAGGTGATTTATGGAGTTAGCTAATAACTTTTGATCCACTAGTCTGTTTTAGATAATTTAATTACCAAAATGTTCATCTCAGTAAGAGGATTCTAACAAACACAAAATTATTAAATCCGATCACAGAATTTTGAGATAGTTTGAATTTTATATAATTTTAATAGTAAATTTAAAATTTTTAGATAAATATTTTAATTTTGGATAACTTTTGATCCACTGGTCTGTTTTGGATGCTTTGATTACCAAAATGTTCATCTCAATAAGATGATTCCAACAAGTTCAAAATTATTAAAATCTAATCACAGGATCCCGAGATAGTTATGAATTAATATCATCAGCCAATCAAATGAGAAATGGGTTTTATAAATAAATTTACATATAAAACCCATCTCTTATATGTTGGCAGATGACATTAATTCTTAACTATCTCAGAATCCTGTGATTGGATTTTAATAATTTTGAACTTGTTGAAATCATCTCATTGAGATAAACATTTAGGTAGTCAAATCATCCAAAATGGACTAGTGAATTAAAAGTTATTCAAATTAAAATATTTATCTAAAAATTTTAAATTTACTATTAAAATTATATAAAATTCAAACTATCTCAGAATTCCGTGATTGGATTATAACAATTTTAGCTTTATTAGAATCCTCTTATTGAGATTAACATTTTGTTAATTAAAGTATCTAAAATAGACTAATAGATCAAAAGTTATTAACTAATTCTATAAATCACCCAATATGAAACTCTCAACTATATACTATATTTAGGTCTATTATAGGTTTTACTATTGATAAAATGTAAAAGACTGGGTCTTTTATCTGACCATTGATAGTACAATTTATTTGCTAGTTCTTATTTATATTTTCATATTTAGTTTAATTTATTTTGTATTTTTATTTTTAAATTTAACTATACAGTCAAACCTCAATATAGTCACACCTTTGGGATACAAAATACTATAATTATAAAGAGGTGTGACTAATATAGAGGTATTGTCTATATACATAGTTATAAATAATTAATAACAATAAGTTTATAATTATATTGATTTTGTAACTATAGAGGAGGTGATTATAAAGGTGTTTGATTATATTACAATATTCAAAATACTTAGATTTTGTTAACAAGTTGCTTCTATTTATAAAACCAGGTCTGGTATTTCTTTGTTGCTTTTTTATATTATTTTGTTGATTAAAAGACTATTAGAAAAAGTTTAATTTAAAATATTGTATAGTCAAACCTCTCTATAGTCACTTTCTTTATAGTTACAAAACCAATATCCTGTAATTACTAACTTATTATTACTAATTATTTATAACTATAGTTAAACTCCTCTATAGTCACAAAACCAATATACTGTAATTATAAACTTATTATTACTAATTATTTATAACTATATAGATTTCAAAAAATTATTATGAAGAGAGATAGATTACAAATATAAATAGTGAATTTGAAGAATGAGGTATAGAAATTAAAATGAAGAATATAAGAAATAGTAGTAGAAGTTATTTTTGTAATATTTTGTAAATAGAATAAATAAAATAAATAAAATAAAAGTTTAAATCTAATTGTAATAAAATCATAATAATCAAATTTGTAATAATAAATAAATAAATAAATAAAATAGAATTTTAGTAACTATAACTAGTGGTAATTATTACTAGTGTATAATTACAGATGTAATATGCAAATCAATTTGTATAACAACAATAAAGATTTTTTTTAAAAAAATGCTAATATCTTAAGAATTTGCCTATGAAACTACCTTCAATGTTCTAACAAAAAAAATTTCTTGCTAAATTTTAAATACTGTTACAAAGTAGATTTTTAGTATAGATTTTATTAATCATTATTTAGTTATTTTTAGTTATTATTATTCAAAAT